CTATAATCTTATCACTCTCCTTTACTTTTTAATAAAAGCATTTATAATTTATGCATACTTTGAGAATTTTCCTTGAAAGGATTACTTAGCTATTCTGCCTAAAGCTGGAGAAAAAAAAATAATATGGATAAGAACGATGTAAAATTCCAATTTATTTACTTTGATAACTTAAAAAGCATTGTATACCATTACTTTCCCTTTCCCACACACTAAAGTGATTTCATAGAACTAGCTTGTAAGCAGCATGTGAAATGCAATATCTATCAGTCTTTGTCTGCAGGAGTCAATAAAAACTGTGCCCTAATTTTCTCAGGTATAGTTGGGATAAAAGATTTCCCACTGCCTATTGTATTTATTCTATATTTTCTTCCTTCTATTGGAGATTTTAAGGTATTCATCTGAGTTAAAACTATATAATCATTGTTACTGTCAAATCCAGTAGGACCCAGAGTGACCCTATGAACTCGGTCCTATTCTGTGTCATCCTCACAATCTCCAGCATAATTGAGTCCATTGCTGAAGTCACTGTGTCAATCTGTCTGGTTGGGGGTCTTCTTCTCTTTCACCAACCCTAAACTTTCTCAAGCATCATATCCCTCTCCAAAAAATAGTCTCTCCTAGCAACATCTCCAGAGTATATGATATCAAATTTTGTATCTTTGCTTCCACTGAGCACTGCACCTGCACTGTCTCCAAGACAGATCTGTTTGTTCTTTTCACAGTCCATGAGATATTCAGTACTCTTCTTTAACACTACAGCTCAAAAGTATCACTTTTTCTTCCACCTTCGCTGTTCATTGTCCAGCTCGCAGGTGCAAAGCAAATGATTGAAAAGATCATGGACTGAATCAGACGTACCTTAGTCCTCAAACTAACATCATTGTTCCTCAATATTTTAGAGAGGTCCCTGACCGCAGACTTTCCCAGTATGTCTCCTGATCTCTTGAATTCTGGTATCAAGTATACTGATTGTAGATCTAAGTTAAATGAAGTCATTGACAGTTTCAGTCTTTTCTTCATCTATCATGAATGATATTGCTTATGAATTCAGTGGTGAGAATTTTTTGTTTTCTTGACCCTGAGATGCAATTCATATCGAAGGCTAAATTCTTTCATCAGCTGCAGCAAGTGTTTCAAATCCTTCTCAGTTTTGGCAAAGCAGTGTGTGTCATGTGCATAACACAGGTTATTAATGAGTCTTCCTCTATTTCTATGTCATATTCTTCTTCACAGATTCAAACTTCTTCAATAATTTGTTCACCACACAGACTGAATGAGTACAGAGGGAGGATATATCCCCAACATATACCTTCCTTAATTTTAAACCATGCAGTGTTCCCATGCTCTATTCACACAACAGCCTCTTGGCCTAGGTACAAGTTTCATATGGGCAAAATTAAATACTTTGAGATTCTCATTCTTGTCAATGTTAGTTATAATTTGTTATGATCCACATAGTCAAATGTCTTTGCATAGACAATAAAACACAAATAGACATTCTTCTGACTTTTATTACTTCAACCAGGTTCCATCTGACATCAGCAATGATATCCCTGGTGCCATGGCCTCTTCTAAATCCAGCTTGAAAGTATAACCATTTCCTATCTCTATACTGTTCTAGCCATTTTTTACATGATTGCTCACAGTATTTTGCTTGTATGTGATATTATGATATTGTTCAATAATTTCCCCATTCTGTTGTAATGAGGACAAATATGGATATTTTCCAGTGAGTCAGGTAGGCAGCTGTCCTTCAAGTTTCCTGGCATAGACTGATGAACATGTCCAGGGCTGTGTCTGTTATCTGAAATATGTCATTTATATCACATCGATTCCTGGGGCCTTTTTTCTTGTCAATGCCTTCAGTTCAGATTGAATTTCTTCTTTCCTTCACTTTGTATCTGTTCATATAGTACTTGCTGAAATTTTTCCATGTACATCATTTTTATTCTGTGTATTCTCACCATCATCTTTTGATGCTCCCTTAGTCATTTAGGATTTTGCCCATATCTCTTAGTATTGCAAGTCAGGGTTTGAATTTGTATTTAAGTTTAACTTTCAGGTTGGGAAATGCCAGGCAAGTTCTTCCCTTTTTATTATCCAATTTTAGCTCCCTAGACATTCCATTATAATACTCTGCTTTGACTTCTTTCATTTATTTTTTTTTTAGCTGTGATTTTAGGAAATATTTACACAAAAGTTGGATTTTCATTCATTCATTGTTGCACATTTATCTTCCTAACCCCCTAGTTCAATTCTTTTTTTATAAACAAAATATTCTTTCATTGTTGTATAATTTCCTCCCTCCTGCCCACTCCTTCCCCAGTCCACTTTGCTACGCACCTCTTATACTGAACTGTTGTCATACAAATAATGCCTGATCATATATTACTTTTTTTTCTAAATAACATTTTTATTTTATACTGTTTACTTACAAAGTTAGTATACATTGTTTTTTCACACTGGATTTTTCCCATTTCCCATTTCCCATTTTCTTTACCCATGCTCCCTCCACCCTGTAAGTAACCCTCACCTTTCTATGGTGATCCTCAACTTTCTGCTCCCCCCCACCTTGGATTTTCATACAAGTTCTACAATAATGATCTTATACACTATTTGTCCTTATGGGACTGAGTTAATTCATGTAGCATAATGCTCTTCAGTCCCTCCCAAGTTAGATAGTGATTTATAAAATTATTGCTCCTGCATGCTGTGTAGTATTCCCTCATGTGAATGTACCATATTTTCTCAATCCATTTGATTGTGATTGAACATTTGGGCTATTTTCATGTTCTTTTGATGGTGAATAAGCCTGCTGTGAACAAAAGTATACAAGTCTCTGTGTCTCAGTTCTAATTTTTTCAGTTATATTCCACACAGTGGAATAGCTGGGACATATGGAATTTTTATGTTCAGCTTTCTGAGAAAATACTAAACTGCCTTCCTTTTGTCTATTCCAATGAAATGTTCCTTATTTATCCCCTTTTCCTAGTTTCCTTCTAATTCTCATGTCAGTCCTGTTTTATAACAATGATGTCATGTAGTGTTTGTTCTTTTTCCTTCTTGAGCTGCCCTTTGAAATCTTTTGTTCAGTTCCTTTACTGTAGCATCTCTTCCCTTTGTTTGGACTACTTGATGCTGTAGCACAATTTTCAGTCTCTTGTGTTCTCCATGTAGTTTTCCTTTCACTCCTGTCTTTGTTATTCCCTTTTGCTCTCTTCATTGATTGTATCTTAATGTTTTTCTACAGCTTCTCTAATCGTCAATCATTGATGTCCAATGCTTCAAACCTATTCCTACAATGATTTTTAAATTCAAGTAGGATAGACTTAGGATCATATTTTGGTTCTCTCTCATGGACTTGTTCTAATTTTCTTCAGCTTTAATTTGAACTTACACATGAGTAATAATATTATGACAAATAATCACGACTGGATCTTTTTACGTAAACTAAAGCATATGGTCTTCAATCATTGATGTTCAATGCTTCAAACTTATTCTTAATATTATAAATAAGCATTAATAATGAATAAATTTTATGTATATGCTATAAAAAAATTCAACTCATTGCCGTGGAGCCAGAACCAACACATCGCTGACCTTCCCATGGCTTTTCAAAGGCCATAATCACGCAGGAGGAGATGTATCTTCTTTCTTCTTCAAAACAGGAACATGTGAATTGTGGAGCAGATGGATTAGAATTCCATGTCTTTGGGGTGGCAACATAACTCCTAACTCATTAGGCCACTAAAGCTCCCATTTGCTACAAAGTTATAACAATTTGATCCACTGATATGATATAGGGAGAACATGCCCTAGTTTACTTAAAATATTCCAGATTATGATTATATGAACTAATATTATTATTATTAATAGCCTCTATTTAATAAAATGCGTATTATAATTTGACTCTCATATGTATATTTCATCCAGGATCTATAGAACAGATCATCTGGGAAGCTCGGCTCTATGAGAAGGATTGTGGCATCAGGATTGGAGGTAGACTCAGTAACAACCTGTGTTATGCAGATGTCACAATCTTTCTTGCCAAAACTGAGGAAAGAGGACCTGCAGAAAGTCAAGGATGGTAGCCTTAATATGGATTGAAGTTTAACATCAAGAAATCAAAGATTCTCCTACTGGGGCAGTTGGCAGTGCCATGATCAATAGTGAAGAGATTGAGATTGTTAACAGCTTCAGTTTGCATAGCCCCACAATCAACACTCTGGGTGTCAGCACAGGAAACCAAATAATGAATTGCACTGGGAAAATCTGCTGTTGGGGACTTCTCAAGAATATGGAAAAGCAACTATTTCACTTAAAAGACTAAACCAGAATGCTTCAAAATCCTTGTCATCAAGGAGCATCCTGGTTTAACCTTCTCCAGAGAATACATGTTTGTTCTCTTAGCAGTCCATTATCGTATATCTAATACTCTTCTCTAGTGCCACAACTCAAAGGCATCAATTTCTATTCTATCATCTTAAGTCATTGTCCAGTTCTCTTATCCATAGCAAGTAATTGCAAAGACTATGGCCTGGACCAGGCATCCTTTAGTCTTTTAAGTACTTACTTCACTAGTGTGTTTATGAAGACAGCATCATAGATATCTTTTTTTATATTTGTGTTTTTAGAACCTTTTCTAATCCTTGAGGCCAAGACAAGCTCTCTTCATGTATATATGTATATACTTCTCAAGTGGTGTCCTAGAAAGTAATTAGGTAGAAGGTTCAGTGTCTGCACACAACCTCCCTGACGAGTGGTATTTTGAAAAGAGGAAAAAATATGCCATTATCCTGTGAATGATCTTGAAATGACAAAGAGTGGGCATAGATAACTGAGTTAAAGTCTACAGCCTTCCTGACATTTCTTCTTAGGTGTCTCAACAAAGTATACTAGAGAGAATTTTTACATCCCCTCAAGTAAATCCTCACTAAATTAATGACATGTTATTATGACGTCCTAAAATGAGAGTATATCTTCTCAGTAAAAGTACTTACTTTTCAGATCCATAAACAAAATGGTAGGCATGAGAATCATGGCAACTCTGATCCTGATTATCAATGGTATAGTTAGATTGATAAAAATCAGACTCAAATTGTTCCATCCTGGGGGGGGAAAAAGGAGTATTTTTTTACTTAAATTATGAGTTTAAAAATGACCTTTGAGATATTTACAAAGATTCATTAGTGATATGGTTTTACCCAGATTCCTATTAGGGAAAAGGGACATTAAGTATGGGGGCAAGGTGCAAATATAGATTAGAAAATCACTTAAACATGCATTTTTTTAACTAGTATTGCTAATATTTGACATATTTCAACAAGCAGATGCTGCTCTGGATGTTCTCACCAATTGAGCCAAGAATTCTGGAGGACAATCACCTGCCAACTGACTAGAAGAGATCTATATTTGTTCCCATTCCAAAAACAGGTGATCCAACAGCGTGCGGAAATTATAGAACAATATCAAGATTCTGCTGAAAATTATCCCAAAACAACTGGAATGGTACATTCACAGATAACTACCAGAAGTGCAGTTTGTGTTTAGACGAGGCCATGGTGCTAGGGATATTATAGCTAATGTTAGATGAATCTTGGCTGAAAGCAGGGAGTACCAGAGGAATGTCTATCTGTGTTTCATTGACAATGCAAAGATATTTGACTATGTGGATCACAAAAACCTGTAGCTAACTCTGAAGAATGGGAATCCCAGAGCACTTGATTGTGCTTATGTGAAACCTATACTTGACCAGGAGCCAATCATCAGAACAGAGCAAGAAAACAATGCATGGTTCAAAATTGGGCAGAAAATACTCTAGGGATGTGTCCTATCTCCATATCTTTCCAACCTATATGCAGAACAGATCATCCGGGAGGCTGGACTCTATGAGGAGAAATGTGGCATCAGGATTGGAGGAAGAATCATCAACAATCTATGTTATGAAAATGACACAGCTCTGGTTGCTTAAACTGAGGGGGATCTGATGTGCTTGTTGCAGAAGGTCAAGGACTGCAACCGTCAATATGAATTGAAGTTCAGGATTAAGAAAACAAAGATTCTCACCACTGGGCCAATTAGCCCTGTTCATGACAGATGGTAAAGAGATTGAGATTGTTAACAGCTTCAGCTTGCTTGGCTCCACAATCAACACTCTTGATGCTAGCATCCATGAAATTAAAAGTTGAAATGCATTGGGAAAGTCTGCTGTCAGAGATCTCTCCAAAGTACTGAAGAGCAACAATGTCAGTCTGGAGACTAAGGTGCATCTGATCCGGTCCATGTTCTTTGTAATTACTTGCTATATATCAGAAATCTGGACAATGACTAGGGATAATAGAAAGAGAATTGATGCCTTTGAGCTGTGGTGCTAGAGAAGAATACTGAATATACCATAGACTTCTAGGAGAACTTCTAGGCTCATCCTAGAAAGAGTGAGACAAAGCTGCTTCTTGGAGGCAAAGATTCTGAAGTTTCATCTGACATATTCTGGGCATGTTGCAAGGAGGGACCAGTCCTTGGAAAGGGACATTACGCGTTGGAGGGTGGAGGAACAGTGCAGGAGAGGAAGACCCTTAATGAAATGGATTGATTCAGTGACTGGGATAATGGAGGTAGGTGTGTCAGGACAATAAGATTGGCACAGGATAGAGCAGGGTTTAGTGTTGTTGGACATAAGGTCGCGATGAGCCAAAAGTGACTTGATGGCACGTAACAACTACAACAACAGAGCTGCATGAAAATGATCTTGACTGAAATAGCATTATTTGGTCTGAAATAACTAATAGTCTTCAAATGCTTTATTCTCAGGAGTTTAAGATTGAAGAATTTCTTTAGGGTATATTTTTAATAGTGGAATTGCTGGGTCAAATAGTATTTCTATTTCCAACTTTTTTAAAAAGAACCAGACCACTTTTTTATAGTGGCTGTACTATTTTACATTTCCACCAGCAGTGAATAAGAATTCCAATCTCTTCACAGCCTCACCAGCATTTGTTTATTGCTGCATTATTCACAATAGCAAAGAGATGGAAGCAACCTAATATATTTACAGAATGGAATATTATGCAGCATTGAAAAACAATGAACTTGTAAAACATTACACACAACATGTGGGAGCCTGGAAGATGTTATGCTGAGTGAAATATCTCAGTCAAAAACCACTGTTATAAAATGGGCGAAATGGGGAGGTTGGGGAGATAATGGGAAGAATGGATAAATAATGAACACTGCATTAAAACAGATGAGGAGAAGAATTATCTGAAAGGAATGTATGACTAGGCATTATATGTACGACAACAATCTGGAACAAGAGGTACATTTCAGGGGGTGGGGAAATGTTCAACAATGAAAAAAATATTTTAAAAAAGAGAGGGAAACTGATGATCAAAAGAAAAAAAATTCTTTAAGCAAGTTCAGTTGCTCCCTTTAAACCTTCCGTATATTCTCTCTGGCAAAACCAGAAAGCAAATGACTAATAACTGTATTTAAGTTTGATTTTTTTTCTAAGGTTTCAAAATGTTGCTGACACAACTGTTATCTGTCACAATTAAAAAAAATGTGTAACAACATTTGTTAGATGCTGTCATCTGATTTTTTTTTTATTCATAGATCCCATTGTGAGAGAGGAAACACTCTACATTGTATTCTAGATTACAATATAGATTACTGTTTTTTTATTGTAATGTAGAGAGAGCTTTGGTGGCTTCTTGTTGTTGTTGCTTTGTACCATGGAAATCTACTCATAGCTAACCCTCTAGATGGTTTTCTGAGCCAATAAATAGCACAGATAATAGCCCATCCTTCTCCTGTAAAGCATCTGGTGGATCATGCGCCCTTGGGATTGCAGCTCAACTTCTTACAACTAGGCTATTAGAGCATTACCAGCCCAAAGAGTCAAGGTTCAAACTTATCAGCTGATTTGTGGGGAAAAGTATGGACAATCCCTTCTTATGTGATTTACTGCCTCTGAAAATCTGCTTAAGAGTCTGTTTTGAGTTGGTTCCCACTCAATGGCGATACCCAACAACAATTGTAACCTAGGAGAGAGGAGATGGTCCTTCTCCTATGAAGCCATTGGCTAAATTGAATCACTAACCTTCAGGTTAACAGCCAAGCGCTTAACTATTGCACAACCGCCATGACTTAAAACGTTGTAAACGAAACTCTCCGTTCTCTTTTACAACTCCTAAAATGTGGCACATTTGCTTTTTTTTATCTTGTCATAGATTCTAAATCAAAGCGTATTGCTGTGTCGGGAAAGTACAAGGCTCAATATTGGCAAACTAATAGTCTTTCTACACATTTGTTACAGTTTCAAAGCTCGAGTGAGGAGACTCACATGTTATCAGGAAAGACTGATGGCTAGAAAAGGGCCTTATGTTTGATAGAGTATCAAGAAAGAAAAGGAGAAAGAGGGGGAGGGGGAGGGGGGAAAGAAAGCGGGAGAGGGAGAGAGAGAGAGGGAGAGACCTCAGTAAGATTGACTGTAAAGCCAAGGACAACAAATGAATTCAAGCATGGGGTTTAAACAAAATCCAGAAACATTTTCTTATGTAAGCAACTGGTTACATAATGTTTCTTTCGTTTCCTCACATTATTCTTAAGGCAGCCATGAGTCAGTTCTGACCCAAAGGCAACTGACAGCAACAGGGAGTGGAGAAGAATATACAATTCTTAAGAAGATCTTACAACTAGGAACACCAAAGGGAAGAAGAAACATTTGGCAGAAAGAGACGGAAGAAGGTATTAGTATGATAATCGTGAGTCTTTGAAGACAAAGAATAGAGTTGAGAATTGTTCAATTAGATGTTATATAACTTCAAGTTTTAGTCTTTACTTTTCCTTGAAAAACTTTTTTATTACAAACAAGCAAGTTTTAAAATCACTAGGAATAATCCATGTAATTATAGTAATCTATGGAATACTACCTGCAATAAATTTCACATTACATTATATAAACAGCTTTAACTTTTATAGCTAGTTTCATTAATCAAAAACAGTCAAGTAACAATTGTCAAATATATCAAATTTGTTCGGCTCAGTAAAATTACAGAAAGCTTTTCTAAAATTAGATGCAGTGATTCAGGCATCTGATTTAATAAATAAAGGGTTTTTTTCATTAGTAATGTGTATAAAAGCAGCTATAAATTATGTAAACTAAGATCTGGAGTTAGAGAGTGATAAATCTTTCAACAACTTATTTAAACAGGTTAAAATTTAATAGTCTGACTTTCCCAGTTCCTGAAAATAAAGCATAGAAAGTAATTCCCCTTGAGAATACAGTAAATTTTCATAGCATGCAAAGCCTTATGTAATGGAGAAATTGCTATTAGAATCCTTTTATAAACCAGCTTCTTATTTTGCCAAAATATCAAGTCTTTTAGACAAAAGACACATACCTCTATGTTACTTTCTGTGAAAATATTCTCCAACAAATGTAGTTTTTCTTGAGAAAGTTAAAACAAATTAGTGAAAAGGTGAAGTATGAAGTCCTGGCTATAAATAACTTTCTAAATATGTACTCTGACACTCTAAACAGATGTTACAGATTAAAAAAAAAGTCTGCCCAAAGCCAAATTACGGTATCTTGTATCACTTGTGAAGGTTTACAAACATAGTGAACTGTGTATATAATTTGATCTTAAAAACTAATTTTCTTTGTATACATATTCCAGTAATCTATAAGGTAAAATCCTCTGTTTGAGACAAGAAATACAAAGGAAAACACTTTTGGCCCCTTCCACTTCATACTCTTTAAGACAAACTAGTCAGGATTTCCTAATACTATACAATAAAAACCAAGATATGGGACATGTTCTTAACATTGAGATCTCAGCAGTAGAAAGAAAAAGGATTCAACTTTATCCAATTCTAAGCTATTACATTTTAATATACAACTTTAGGAAAACTACTTTCAATATGCCTCTAACTTTTCCCATGCTTTGTATTTCTCCAACAGAGCCCAAACCAATTCTGGGTAGTACATCTCACATGAAGGGCCAGGTCTGACCCATTTCCTAAATCATCACTATTCATTGCAAGTAAACATATTATATCATCAGACCTATCATTTGATAGAGTACAGAAATAAGTCAGTTTGTTAGAT